TGGACGGTCGGTTTTTGGATGCCAACGGTGCCCCCAATCTACAGACGGCTGTTGAGAACTCTCTTGAGCTGTGATACCGGGCGTGGACCGCCCCCGCATAATACTACTACCTTTATTTCCTTCTATCTGTACAGTATCTTCTACAGCTTGGAAGTCTTGCTTCGGCGCCAAACAGTCTCTTCGCCCCTCCCCCCCTCTCCCTCGGGTCCCTGAGTGGCCGCACGGCCGTATAATGTGACTTTTGGCCTAGCTCTGACTTGGAGACCTACTAGCTGTGTTCTCCACCATGTCCAAACGACAGTGTAAAGTCTCCCTCAGGTCCCTCCTCCCCTTTCTTGTGTACTCTATTGGTCTTCTGAAAAAAATAAGTTGGTTCTTTTTGTTATGGGTTTTGGTTAGCAGTTTCTGGGGAGGTTTTCTGTAGTCACGAATATTATCCGAAAGGAGTCGAATCTACCTCCGGCAACGGCCGTAGTGTAGGGGGGACGGCTGCCATCATAGTTTACTAATAGAAGCAAATATGCGTGCCCCAGTTTCTTGTTTTACAGAAGAAAAAGAAGACGCGATTAATGGAACGGCAATTGTGTTATTCTGAGACTTCGGCTTTATCTTCAAAGAAAATCAGAAAGCAGCAAGCGTGAGCATGCTTTTTAATCTACCTACGGTTAAGCGGGGGGTGGAATTTGTGATTGGTCCATGCTCACGCCATCTGCGCGCGTCCTTTCTGTCAGGGCGTGCGACCTTGGCAGCCTGTCTTGCGTCCTTGGCATGTCAGCGTGCTTGCCTGGACAGGAACTGGACTGTGTTTCTTGGTCGCGAGCACGGGAGGCGAAATAACAGGACGGTATACCCGCATGCCTGTTGATGGGTTGGAGTCTGAAATTCAGGCCTCCGGTAGCTCTTATTAGTGGCGCGTGCCCGTGAGGTCGAATTCGCGGCTACTGTACCTGACCTTTTTACGCTTCGCCTCTTCGGAACGCAAAATCCAAAACCTGTGTGGCGGGAAAGTGGTTCACTAAGCTGGTATTGTCGCCATCCAAGGAAAAGGACTTTCAAGAGATAGTTTGGCGGACATACATTTGCTTTCGATAAATTCCCGTCAGACCTGTACATGTGTATCGTTGCGTGAAATATGCGGCTAGGTGGATTTTTTCTAATTACCCGCCTATTTTACTTGGTTACATAACGATATAAATGTGGTGGCCTGACCAAAATTTACCAAAAGCAAAAATTAATTCGCAAAATTATCTTTTGACTTTGTCAGTGGGACTTTTTTCCACTCTAACTATGACTTTGCCCAAGTTTCCACCGGAAATGCTGCTTGTCAAGGCGTCGGGGAGTTGGCGCACAGACCTTTTCCCCCTTTCTTGTGTACTCCATTGGTCTTCTGGAAAAAATAAGTTGGTTCTTTTTGTTATTGGTTTTGTTTAGCAGTTTCT